AATGCCGGCAACTTTGAGGTCAACAGTTAATAGAGCATTACACAATTTTAAATAAACATTTACAAATGCTTTGGCGCAACACAACAACAACAAGAACAAAACATAAACTCATCTGCAACTTTATCATCAACAGCAAATAACCAAAAGAGGGATGTTGTTGGGTTGTGCAAATGTTGTTTTGTTGTTTTTTTGTTATTATTGTTGTGGTTAATTTACACATACTCTTATTTGTTTGTTGCAAGTATGTGTTAAAATGCCCAGTCGATATAAAAGGAACAAATTTGGGCCCTTTAGATAGTATTTCACTCAAATGCCATAAGTAATCGTGAAAGTTTTTGTAACGAAAACACATTTGGTTATCGAAATTAAGCTAAAATGTACTAGATTCCGTATTCGATATCGAATGTCATCTTCTCAAAATTAGAAATACTATGATCAACTTTACTCCATCACATAGGCGATAATTTGGCCGCTGAATTTAAACTTCATTTGATGCATTTGTACTTTTTCAATATTAATAGAATGTCACCTAAGTCACCCTAAGTAATCTAGTGGGTAATCAGATGCTTTTTTAATAATCTAGAAAGAAATCACTTTAACTCTTTTAGTGTTGTACTATAAGATGTAATTTATTCTTAGGTGTAGTATGTCCATTATGTAACCCTAAATCATAGGTATAATGACTATATCGTGACTTTAACACTGCAGGGCCCCTTTGACTTTTCTAATGATTTTATATAAAAATTTCCTTGACTTTTTCCCAGGAAATTTTTTGTTTTGCAAAAAAAAAATACTTCAAAATCATTTGATAAATATGGATTTGTGAAGTGATTTTGTTTGATGTTATTAGAGTTTAATTACTCCTTTTTCACAATAAACAGCAAAATATTGCAAAAAATTATCTAAACAAATTTTTCTGAAAATTTTACTTAATTGCATAAATAAAATGAAGAAAAATTTCAATAACTTCTAATATACAAATACATTTATATATACAACCATATTTCTACTTAAAAAAACTCCAACTGATGGATAAAAGTATGAACTATCAGGAGAGTTAAAGACGATTAGTTTTAAAACGTACCTTTAAGTTATCAGACAATCTGTCACACTCTGCCGGTTCCATCTACAGATTTAGTTCTTTAGTCTACAATATTTCAAAATTTTAGGGGAGAGTATTATGCGTTTGTGCTGATGTTTGTAACGCACCAAAATATTGGTCGTACAACCACCTTATAGTATACCGATAGAATCAGAATCAGTTTCTGAGTTGATTAAGACATGTCCGCCCGTCTTTCTGGCTCGCTGTTCATGTTCAATTTTCAACATATTCTGAAAAAATTTGGACCATACGAGTTTTTCGGCACAAGGACAATGCCTATTGAAATGGTTGGAATCGGTCCATTATTTCACCTAGCCGCCATACAACCTGTCCTTCCGATTTGGGATTTTTAACTCATAACTAAGTCAAATATATTACTATCTCTCCAAACATTTACACAACTAAGTTTTATAAAGGCATAAGCGACCATGCAGATTTTTATAATGATCGGCCATCGTCTGACCCTAGCCCCCATACAAACCGCCCTTTAAAAATATATTAAACGTTCAAAAAATCGACTTATAACCATTAGTATCGCGATTAAATTCAGCATTATTAACTTTATACAAAAATACATCCCTCCTATCAATTTGTTGAGGATTGGCCCATATTGACCCTAACTCCCATATAAAATCTCTTTTAGAAATTTTGTTTTTCAACATAAAAGTTTCTTTATGAAAAATAAATAAGTTTTCAAATACACTCATGGTGTAGGGTATCATATAGTCTGCCACGCCCTACTATACTTTCCTACTTGTTTTATTTCATATGTTAGTGTATCTATCAAGCCCAACAGATTTCTTATTGAGTCCACTTATAAAGGTTTTTGATGTCAAAAATTTGACCAATTTGTTATGTCGGTTTTTAGTAAAATATCTTACCGAAATATTAACATTTTAAGGGTCTGCATAACATTTGTAAGTTTAGGGTCATTTCCAGCATATCGACAATCGATCTGTAAAACAAAAAAAAACATTTAGACTTAGTCATGATCAAATTAAAAATTTGTCCTATTTGCCGTAAAATATACTTTAGTTTTCTGAAATTAATATACAGAATCTTCACTGATCGCATATTACGGAAATTTCCACAATTATTTATTTATAAGTCATAAATTTAATTTTTATCAATAAATCTACTACTTTTTTCTGACAGCTACTACTAAAACTACTACTATTTAAAAAAGCATTTTAATCATACTAAATAAATATTCTTTCCATTTTTTAAACATTATAAAAACTCTCTCTTAAAATCTATAATTTTCAAAAACTTTTGCTTCTCTTTTCATTTGTATATTCTATACAAAACACCACTACCAAAACAGTTGAGCATTTTATTTTTTCTGGTTTTTTGTTTATATTCTTCTCTAAATTTATGTTATGATAAACATATTCGCTCGTTAGCTGACTGGCAAACTGACTGCCTAACCCAACGACTACGACGACGACAACACCAACAATATTATGAACCTCATCATGGTAAAAATTTAATATCAAAACAAAACAAGCGAAAAAACCTGCAATCTTGTGTTTTGTTTTGCTTAAGCATTCGTTAACTATATAAAGTTTATACCTGCTGCTGCTCGCCACATTACGTATCCGTTGGATTGTTAGTAGATTTGAGCACAAATAATGATGAAGTACAAAAAAAAAATCGGTAAAAACAAAAACAAAAAACTGCAGTAGAAGGCAAAGAGTACAAGAATATAATATAGAGGCTCGCTTATGGCTGATTTGAAATGCTCCTAGTAGATTTGTATAAGAAGACAAGATACACAAGAATAAAATACAAATTTAAAATAGGAGGGCTAAACGAAAAGTTGTCTAATAGCATTATGGCAATAAATAGAAAGAACAATTTCTATAAAAAGAAAATTTATCGAAAATTTGCAATAAAAAGAACATTTTCTATAAAACAGATAATTTTCCATAAAAAGAAAATTTAAAGAAAATTTTCTATAAAAACAAAATTTATCGAAAATTTTCTGTACAAAGAAAATTTATAGCAAATTTTCTATCCAAAAAAAAATGTATCGCAAATTTTCTATACAAAGAAAATTTATCGAAAATTTTCTATACAAATTTTCTATAAAAAGAAAATTTATCGAAAATTTTCTATAAAAAATTTTCTAAAAAAAAATTCAACGAAAATTTTCTTTAACAAGAAAATTCAACGAAAATTTTCCATAAAAGGAAAATACAACGAAAATTTTTTTTAAAAAGAAAATTCAACGAAAATTTTCCATAAATGAAAATACAATGAAAATTTTCTATAAAAAGATAATTCAATGAATATTTTCTATAAAAAGAAAATTCAACGAAAAATTTCTATAAAAAGAATATTCAACGAAAAATTTCTATAAAAAGAAAATTCAACGAAAAATTTCTATAAAAAGAAAATTCAAGGAAAATTTTCTATGAAAAGAAAATTCAACGAAAATTTTCTATGAAAAGAAAATTCAACGAAAATTTGTATAAAAAGAAAATTTATCGAAAATTTGTTTATAAAAAGGAAATGTTCGTAAAATTTTCTATAAAAAGAAAATTTAACAAAAATTTTCTATAGAAAGAAAATTTATCGAAAATTTTCTATAGAAAGAAAAATTATCGAAAATTCTCTATAGAAAAAAAATTTATCGAAAATTCTCTATAGAAAGAAAATTTATCGAAAATTCTCTATAGAAAGAAAATTTATCGAAAATTCTCGATAGAAAGAAAATTTATCGAAAATTCTCTATAGAAAGAAAAGAAAAAAAAAGAAAATTTGCATAAAATTTTCTATAAAAAGAAAATTTGCATAAAAATTTGCATTAAAGAAAATTTATCGAAAATTTTATATTTAAAGAAAATTAATCGAAAATTTTCTATTTAAAGAAAATTTATCGAAAATTTTCTATAAAAAGAAAATTTATGGAAAATTTTCTATAAAAAAATTTATCGAAAATTTTCTATAAAAAATTTATCGAAAATTTTCTATAAAAAAATTATCGAAAATGTTCTATAAAAAGAAAATTTATGGAAAATTTTAAAGATTTTGTAGTTTTATGATTCTATTTTAAAACCTTCTCAGACGAACCTCGTATATAACAAGTCTTTTTTTGTATCTTATAGATTTGTTTTCTTTTGTTGATTTTTTTTATTGTTTCTATTAGAGTAGCCGAGTGAGTAGTGCTGCTCTTTGTTGTCTTTTTGATGGGAGCAAAATAAATGGAAAAGAAAAAGCTGGAGAAGAAGAAAAAAAAAAAAAAAGAACGAGTATTAATGATTTTCTTATAGGCCTCTGTGTGTACAAACAAACAAGAGTATTCAAGTTGATTGCTCTCCAACAAAAAAAGAATAAAAACAACAAAATCTGGGTATTCTTAGATTGTCATTGTTATTGTTAATAAAGGCTTTAATAGAGGGCCCTACTAATGGAGGAGAGTAATTTTTCTTATATTTTGTTGTTGCTGTTCCTGATGTAGTTTATTACTGATTCCTTATATATTTTTTTCTCAATTTACTTTAATATCCAGTGAGTGTGTATCTATGTGTGTGTTTGTTTATGTATTTTCTTGTTCTTGTTGGTTAATGCAAGCAACGAGTATTTATGTTTGTGTGTTTTCGGCGTGTGTACGTGTGTGTATGTTGTTGTTTAGATGTGCAATGCACAATGTTGTTTGTTTATATGTTTGTTGCGTGCATGACTTTGTTGTTGCATTGCTAATGCATGCCTATACGCGCGACTTTTTTTCCTCCGCTTTTGGTTGTTTTTTATTATTTTTTTATATTATTCATATTATTTCTTCTTCACAGTTTCCATTCTCATTCTGTAGCCTGTTCTGTATGACGATTGTGTGTTGTTGGTTTTGTTTTTTTAATAATTTTTCTACAGTGAGTGCATGACTGACTGTGTTTTCAGTTGTGCTCCAACAACGGCTATGGTGTGAGGCACCTATCTTGTGTGCCAGCAGTTGATTTCGAACTACGAAGCGAGTAAGACGTGTGTTGTTGTAATTTATCTATACGTTCGACGACGTTTTAAGTGCTTTTAGTTAAGTTTTCTTACAACCAACAAAAATAACAGTTCTTAAAGATTTTTTTATTTTGAAAAAAAAAAAATAATTTTTGACATTTGTATAAATTAAGTTTATGCAAAAAGTAAAATAAAAAACTAAACTGCAAGAGTGCTAACAAAAAACCCATACTAAACACGACTTTTTGTGAAAATGTATATTAGTGCTAAAAAACAATTATAAAAAATTTTAAAAATTAAACTTTAAAATTTTCTAAAAGAAAAAACAAAAAGTGTTAAAAAAAACGAAAAAAGGTTTATTAAACTAATATTATAAAACAAACTAAAGAAACCAAACAGATTAAAGTGTTTTCCCCTGTAAACAAAAGATAAACAAACAAACAGTTCAATTGTTGTTTCTTTTTTAAATTTCATTACCAACAATAATAAACAATAAGTTTTTCATCATTATTCTTATAAATTTACGAATTTGTCATAACAATGGCTGTGCCCTTTTATTTGCCAGAGGGTGGTGCCGATGATACCGTATCATCCGGCGGCACCACTTCATCCGATGGCGCTAGCAGTGCAGCTAGCTCTTTGCAATCCTCCCCCAATACCACCTCTTCGGCCACACAAACCCCTATGCAGAGTCCTTTACTGCCTGGAGAAGTTATTATGGCAATTTATGAATTGATACGTTATAATTCAGGTGAGTAAATGTGGATTATGGAAATTTAATGTCAAAATTATTGGGGGGTTCAAATGGGAGTATTTGAATTTTGGCCAGGGATTCCCAATTATTTGCTTTATAGATTTTTTTTAAAGGTAAAATAAATTTCAATTATTTTATATAATTTTAAGGAATAATGGGTAATAGAGGTCGCCAAACCTTTTTTGACGAAATTTTTTAATTATTTAGTTTTTTATTATTTAATAATTTTTCATAGTTATTTTTAAAGATATTTTTTCACAAAAATTTCGGATACCTTTTTAATTTATTACGATTTTAAAGAATTTAGTAATTAAAATATTGCCTGAAACAGGTTTGTTTGAAACTGCACTAAATTCCTATCGTTGTGAAATTCATAAATCATGCAGCAAACTGCGCAGAAATGCATGCAACTGCTTGCAGTATCTTGTCCGTTTGTTTATATTATTGTATGATATTTGTTTTCTAACATGTAAAATACTTCAAATGATAAATTTTAAAGTTATGGAAGTTCTAGTTTATAAAATATTCAAAGGATTTTCATTGGAAATTGTTTTAAAGTTTTATTTTTCAAAAATTTTTTTTTTAGTTTTAATTTAATTTGTGGAATTTAAAATTAAATAACAAATTTTTTAATTAATTTGCTAAAAATTGAAATTATCCAATTCAAAATTTTAAATTTAATTTTCAAGTCTACAAAAATTACAAAACCAAATTGATTTCAAAATTTGAAAAATATATTTTTCAGTATTTATTTTTAAAATTTTAAAAGTTTTTCGAAATTTTTAAAATTAGTTTTTCAAAAATTATTAATTTGAAAAAATATTAAAATATTTAAAAAATTATTTCAAAAAATTAAAAAGAAAATAATTTTTTGAAATTAAAATTTTTAAAAAATTTCAATTTGTTTGATTTTTGTCAAAATTTAAATTTTTTTGGAAAACAAAATTTTAACAAAAATGGTTTTTCAAAAAAAAAAAAAAAAAAAAAACAAATAAATTTTGTTAAAAAAAAATTAAAAAATAATTTTTAAAAAATTTTAATTTGATAACTGAAAATGGATTTTCTTAAATTTTAAATTTGTTTACAAAATATATAATTTAAAAAATTTAAAAATTTTATAAAATATTTTTAAAAAATTTAAAAATTGATTAGTCAACTTTTAATTTGATAATTAGAAAATGTATTTTTTAAAATTTAAAATTTGTTTACTATATATATTTTTAAATAATTTAAAAATTTTATAAAATATTTTTAATTTTTTACTTAATAAAATGTATTTCTAAAAAATTTTATAAAATATTTTTAAAATATTTAAAAATTGGTTTTTGTCAAATTTTAATTTGATAATTAGAAAATGAATTTTTTTAAAATTTAAAATATGTTTAGTACAAATATTTTTAAAAAAATTAAAAATTTTTTAAAATTTACAAAAAAAAATTTTAAATATTTGATTTTTGTCAAAATTTAAAAAAATTGTTTTTTGTAAAAAATAACAGGAATTTAAACATTTACTGCCTTATTCATAAACATTTATCAAAGGTTTATAGAACAAATTTTGTGTGAAAATTTGATTTATAAACCTTTTATAAAAGTTTATGAATAAGACCGTGAAAAATAAACGTTTAAATCTTAAAACTTACTTTTTAAACATGTTTTAAATATGAAAAATATTATTTTTATAAAATATAAATTTCACCATATAAAATTCGATTTGATCTGAAATTTCTTTAACATTTAAAGACCTACAGTGTCTCTCATAATTATTCGAATTTGGGTAAACAATAAAAAGAAACCAAATTTAATAATATATTTTGTGTGCAAAATAAATAAATTAATTTGTTATATTGTCTAGATAGTCCTTATGTTTGATATCACGCTTTTTAAAATTTGAAAAATTTGCATTGACTTAAATTAATTGTGCTTTTTAAAAAAAAGTCCATGAAATTGCCTCACAAAAGTATACGAATTTTTCCTGTATTTCATATTTGATCATATTATACGCAACACAAATTTTAGAATCGAATGGTTTTTATGCGTAATATTGTTTTAAGGGGTTACTATCCACGGAAAGGATATATTTTTGGCCCATTTGGTCCACAATTTTGGGGAATTTGTACCCTCTTTTCATGTAATATCATTAAAATGGCGATTTTTGGCCATAATTGTAATTTTTCTCTTTTTTTCCAGAGATAAAACAAAAATTTGATATTGGGACTTAAAAGACCCCTTGGGGTATCTAAAAATAATATTTTTTGTTACAAGAATCTGTATTTAAACGTTCCAAGATAAATTATTCGGATCATTCTTCTGTCTCTAATTCAATATATTGGAACTTAAGTCCATTTTTATAATACTAGGATCAACTATTTTCGAGGAAAGTTTTCTGGTATATATTCTTTTAGATATCAGCTTTTATACATTTTAAGTTTTCAAAGTGTTGTGGAAGTGTACAACTCCAAAACATGCCTCGAAGAAGCACCATTCAAAATAGTAAAATCATTATTTTTATATACCAATGGCCTCCATGCTGCATGGCACGATATCATTATGATCACATGAAAAATGTTGATATGTGTTTAAATATTATTTACTATGATCAAATTAAAACCAAAATTTAGGACTTACAGTGTTATTGTAACGGGCAACATAAGCGTGAAAGTTACGAGTAGTAAAAACTGAATTTTACTATATAGGATGACGTTTTGTTAAGACATGTTTTGGGGATGTATACCGCTTTAATATATTGAAAATTTAAAATACATTAGTGCCAATATGTACATGAATATACACTAGACAACTTTGTCGAAAAATATCGTCCCTAGAGGTACGAAAAGGGACTTATGATCCAGATAATTCAATTAGAAACTGAAAAACGATACCAAAAATACATCTTGGAACGTTTAAGTACAGATCCTTATAACAAAAAATATTATTTTTGGATACCCTATGGGTTCTATTAAATTCCAACATTAAATTTTGGTTTTATCTCTGGAAAAAGGGTGAAAACATTACAAATATAGCCAAAAATCACCATTTTAATGATATTACATGAAAAGAGGGTACAAATCCCCCAAAATTGTGGACCAAATGGGTCAAAAATATATCCATGCGGTTGATAGTAACCCCTTAAAACAATATTAAGCATAAAACCATGCGATTCTAAAATTTGTGTATCGTATAATATGATCAAATATGAAATACAGGAAAATTCGCATACTTTTGTGAAGTAGTTTCATGGACTTTTTTTAAAAAAAGCACAACTAATTTAAGTAAATGTAAAGTTTTCAAGTTTTAAGGGGCGTGATATCAAAACTAAGGACTATCTAGACAATATAACAAATTTATTTATTTATTTTCCACACAAAATATATTATTAAATTTGGTTTCTTTTCATAGTTTACCTAAATTCGAATACTTATGAGAGACACTGTATATTCCAACAATTACTTGGCAAAAATCAAAAGTCAAACATATTAAAACTTCTCCCCAAAAATTGTCAATTAATTAATTTTTTTTTATTGTCACATAAAATAATTTTCAAAACTCTTTTTTTGACAATTTCACACAAAAAACAACAACACATTTAAGCCATAATTCACACCTGGTTTTAAGTTTTTTTTTTCAATTTTTTTTATTGTATTATTCCACTCAGCTTAACAATATTAAGCCGTTAGTAATTGTAAAAGCTATAAAATTTTTACATAAAAATACACGTACTATAAGTATTAAATTGATATCAAATTACCACTACAAAGCACTTTTTGAAAAAAAATATACTACAATTAAAAAATCTTTTTTATATAAGTTTTCATCAGCATTTATTGTCTTAAATTACCTACAAAACGATAAGGATGGTCATAAACTGTAAATGCTAAACTAAGCACAATTTTTTTTGTTTTCAATTTTCATTATTATTGTTGAATTTTTTAAAAATAAAAAGAATAGTAGTTTTTTTTTCCAATTTAGTGTCAAATTGTTTATAACTGTTTGTGTATTTAGTCGTTAACTTTTAAATGAGTCATAAAAGTAAAGGTGTCTCTTTTTTTCTCTGCAGTTTAATAATAAATAATACATTTAATTATTGTTTTATTTGTTATTATATTTGCTGACAAAAAAGTGATTTTCTAAAAAAGGGGTTATATGGAGGCAGGGGGTTAACATGGTCCTATTCTTTTAAATTTTTGTAGATGGATTTACGCCTATATTAGTTATTTATGCAGAATATCATCGTTTTAAGTCAATTTTGACCATCAAGTCATTTTCTGAAGCGGACTTGGGGACTATGGGGGATAGGGTCAAATGAGACCCGATCATTACGATAATCAGCAATATCATTAAGACTATATAGATCAAAATTTTGCCGATTTTAGGAGTGATACAAGAACATTTAATATATTTAGGAGCTCAGAAGCCCTATTCGGGGGTTACGGTTGTATGGGAGCTATACGAAATAATGAATCGATTTTAACCATGTGTCAAATTTCATCTAATTATCTTGAATATTGCGACCTGTAGAGTGCGCACAACGTTTACATGGACTCACAGACGGAGGGAAGGACGGACAGACAGACAGACAGACGGATGGACATAGCTAAATCGAAAGTGATCCTGAACCGATTGGTATACTTTAAAGGTGATGTAGGACCAATATATTTGGGTGTTACTAATATCAGCACAAACGCATAATACCCTCTCCACTATAGAGGTGTAGGGTATAAAAAGAAATACGAATTTTATTGAAAAATGTTACGAAAATAGTAACTAAAAATTTTTTAATTACAAAATATTTAATTTATAAAGTCTATTTGTAATAGTAAATTAATCATAAAACTCTGGCAATTTGGCAAGATCTAAGGTCAGTTTTTTTTCTTCCAGTTTAATTTAAAACTCAGTTAAATGGGTTTGTCTAATTCGGCCACAAAAATTTTTTTAACAAAAATACACAAAATCAAGTTAATACCACAAATAAACTGTAAAACCAGCATATAAATGTTTGT